AAATTTTCTTTTTATTTTATGCTTTAAAACAAGTTAAAACGAAATTTCCATAATTTTAACGTTAATATTAAAATCTGTTTCCCCCATTGAGAGCCCCATTTAGAGGGAATTTCTCATCAAAAACAAGAAGTCTTGAGCTGAGAAATAAGTCCGCCAATCAAGGTTTAATGACGGTAAAATTTATTCATTTTATTAAAAAAATATGAATCATCAATTCTTGTAGGAGAAAAAGTCCAACCATCCATCCATATTTCTGTTACTTACTGCGAATTTATATTAGACCTGGCTTTGTAAAATGTAAGCGGCAGCCATTTTTTAAACTTAAAGTTGTGTATTTCATGGGAGGAAAATAATTGTGTAAGATTCAGAAGGATATAATTTGGATTTGTTAGACATACACCTTTTTAAAAGAAAGAAAACTTATCTGAGGATTGTAACAGACAAAAAATAAGTGTTGACAGAAGTGAAAACATTCAGAAAAGGAGCTAGGAAAATGGAAAACTTGGAAGCTTGCTAAGGCATTGTAAGGAACGCTGGGTTGTTTTACTTATTTTACGAGTGATGGCTGTCAATGCTTTTCAATTTTTCATAAAGCATACGGCAGTTATTGCTCGTAGGATACTTTAATATGCTCAAATGCCATCAAGAGCAGTTTAGCATGGGGAAGGAATGTATTTTTTAGACTGTAAAAACGAAACAAAAAAATTTAGAATCGAAATTTTGTGATTGGAATTTGAAGGAATAGAAGTAAGTTTTCTCTCTTTATTACTTTTGACATTTAAGTTATTTATCTATTTCAGCTTTGCTATTTTTTTAACAGCCTGATATTGTCAGAATTGTCAGTAAAAATAAAATTGAGGTACCACATGGGGAAAATCTTAAAAAAGTAGTTTGGTCATTGAAAAAAGTGAAATTATATTTTGATAATTTTCACTGTGAAATTATCAAATATAATTTTCACGGATAAATCAGTATTCCACTGAAAAGCATAAAATTAAAATAGATATTCAATGTTAATTGAGTTCATTACCCATTTTCTCTTATGTAAGTTTTGTGTTTTCAATGATGTTCCCGATTTAGCCAAACAACGTGTATTTTACATTCATCCTGTTGTGTACCAGTACGTGTATATGCTTGTACATATAGAGTTATACACCTACTGCATCTTATATATTGAATTATACAATATAAAAGTAATATTGATTGATACGCATAACAATTCATTTTCACTGCGAGCATATTTTAAAACACCTAAAAATCGGCTGCCTATATCACTTGACGTCACATTATAGAAATTGAATTAATGATGACAACTCTTAATTATTGATAATAATTGATTTTACTTGATATGATTAATTTTTATTTCTCGATTTACAAACATGTAAAAGCACACTCTCTCATTTTGACCTCAATTTTCAAATAAACAATGATAATATTAATTTATTATGTACGCGACTGTAAGTATATATAAATGGTTATGTATTCAAAAATTAATTACAATTATATTGCAACAGTCTTTTTACGGCATTGTCATCAAATTGCTTTAGAATGATTAAATCAGATAGCATGTTTATATATGAGCCGCGCCATGACAATAATGGGTTTGCGACCAGCATGGATCCAGACCAGCCTGCGCATCCGCGCAGTCTGTCCAGGATGCATGCTGTTCGCTGTCAGTTTCTCTTCGTATTATAAGGTTTGTAAGCGAACAGCATGGATCCTGATCAGACTGCGCGGATGCGCAGGCTGGTCTGGATCCATGCTTGTCGCAAACGCATTATGTTGGTTTTGTCATGGCGTGGCTCATATTAATAAAAGGGCAATCAATATTTTGTAAAACGATCATTTGCAATTCAATGTATATGTCATGGGATTGAAATTGATAAATATTAAACAGGTGGGATGAACGAAATATGTGTGCCAGAATATTTTATTAAAGATTCACATTATCGGTCCTCCTCCATTTTGCCGCCTGTTATCTTTTACTTTCATTTAGCGTTCATTTAATGTGAAAATTGTTCTGAGACTATTAAAAAAAAAATTTGATATACATGTATATATGTTACGGTAAAATAACAAATCAATAAATGAGAACATCTCAGATACATTTTTAAACAACGGTAACAATAATTGAAAAATGTAAAACTGCAGTTGCTTGCTGTTTTTCATAATATTTCAATTATAAATTGTTTATTTAAAATGATGTTAAAGGCTTTCGATCAACGTCAATTCCTTCTCGGTTTTTAATTACTGTTTTACATTAAAAATTGCCAGCAATATATTTTAGTAAACATACACAAGTTATCGGAAACATATCTGGTTCAACGCATATGAACTTAATTGACAAGGAAAAGAAAGTTATTTTCAGATTTCAGAGAGATTGAAAATGCTTCCATCTATAAACAAATGATGCTATTTTAAAACAGTATTTGAAATCTTGAAAACTTCACTTGATGTTAACCTGCGTGTTAAGTGAAATATCTAAATAAATGTAACAGATAAGACCATTTCAGAGCAAGATCTTGATAATTATATTACTTATGGTTTATGAATTACATACTACATAAATGTCGATACAATTTGAGACGGAAAAAAACAAAACATTCAAGATAGAAAAGTGTTTCATCTGGATATACACAGACTGTTTTTATATTTAAAAATCTTTTTAACTCATATTTTTTCCTGAAAAAAAAAAGATGTTCAGAGTTGTACACTTCGAATGTAAAATACATTAAACGTGCGATATTTGTTTGTGAAATAAATATCAAATGTATATCAACGTTATTCTTTCTGATTTACTGTTCCCTAATGACAATTTTTTCTTCCTTTATTTTAGTACCTGAAGTAAGTAAATTGTCATTCCTTAAGAAATATTAGACGAAGGGATGCCTAAAATAGACTTTTTCTCATATTTCTATCATTTATCGACGTTTACGATTGCTATATTCCACATATCCACTAGTATCAATACTTTACGCATATATTATTTCAGGGTATGGAAATTTGAAGATAATAATTATGTTACAGACAAAGGTTATTAATAATGATTTGTCTTTCTAATGCATTCATACTTAAGTTACTAGTGGTTTGGATTGTGCCGTAAACCAATAGTTCACAATTTTCATGATGTTTATCATGATATTTATCTTTTTAGTCCATGAAAATCAAACTTATCATTGCAATGCACAAAAAGGGACGGACAAAATATAATTCTGGAAAAAATACTGGAATATGAACAAAAAATGTGGTTGAGAATTTATGCAATGTTTTAATCTTTGTATAGATAATGTACGTAATATAACTTAATGGAGTGATGAGCGAATATGTATGCGCAGTACATCAGCGAAATTGACATTATGTTTAAGAATAAATTAAGTGTTATTAAAAAGTGTTTGTAATATGAACATAAATTTATAAACATCATTGTTTTAAATAATCTGTTAATAAGTGTTTTGCACCTTTTTTCATTATCCCTCATGTACAGACTCAAACCGAGTTTGAAGATTTTCATTTTATTTTGTTGTGATTAATGCTTCACGGGTTCCAGATTCTAATGCAGTTTAAAAATCAATATAAAAACATAAATAACTTGTTATGTGGGTGCTTCATAAATTCAAATTCTTTTGTTAACATAGTACTACACCTATGTCAAAATGTTAATACAAAGAAGTATAATTATAATTCTTCATTTTTGTGGATAAACATTTTAAAAAGGGAGGACATTTCGTATAGATGTTACAAATGACAATATATATTGTACTATGAATTATTAATTCGTTCAACATATGCATATAATCATATAATTTAATTAATACTTTTAAAAAGAATCCAGGAATTTTGACAATATCGAATCTTTTGAAAGCTTTCTCACTAACATGTTTACCAAGCTGTCTAGCGGATGCATTGCATCTATTGATCGGGGGTTCTTACATTTCAAGGGCATGTTTGCATGTGGACGGAAGTGTGATTATCGGACTGTTATAAATGTATACTCAAATTAAATAGACGGTGTTTATTGTTCGATTAATTGAAAACATAGCAGCAATATTTATCTGTTTTGTTACGTTTTGTCTTTTTAATCATTAATAAATTTCAGCTCTGTTTTTCTCTAAACAGGCCTGAACATGTTGAAATTTTAAGCAAAAACAAAAATTAGGTAACACATGTGGAAAATACTTAAAAGGTAGGCTCTTCATTTAAGGTATTAGGACCCTAATGGGCACTATAAGGAACTGAAAAATTGACATCATAGGTCAGATGTATACCTTAAAGTACACCTGTATGCAAAATTTAAACAAAGTTTACCGTACGGAAATCAAGTTATGGCCACTTTTCTGAACTCAAGCTAGGATGTTATGAGGGCCCTTTTTTAGAAATGAGGAACCTTTAAATAATCTGCAATAACTTTCTAATGAAAAATGTTTTCCCATTAATTTTTGGTAAGAAACAAATAGTACCATTCAGCGAACAATCCACATAAGCAAAATTATGGTTTCTACATAAAATTTATGAAATCTGTATAAAAATGTTACCCTACCCCACCCATTTTTACCATGGGTCTGACCATTTTTCTACTTAGGGAGCCTAATTTAAAAAAATCTTAAAATTTACCCAAATGAGTGCCTGTTTTCAAAGTTTCCCTAAATTTTTAAAAAAGTATATTGGTTGATCTTGTAAAATATGAAATACTTTTACCGTCTAGTTTTGATTATATTACACTTTGAAAATATCAGGTATCATATTTATTACTAGATTTAGCATAATTTAGCCAATAAATACCTATATAAATTAAAAAATTAAAATTAAACATTTTTTTCTTTCCAAATGGGACATGAGAGATACATAAATAATGTTAAAAGAAAAAAAGAAAGAAAAAAAAAGTTGATCCTTCTGGGGATTGAACCCATGGCCCTCATTTTCAATGTAGTTAACAGTAGTTCTAGCCTATTTGAATACTCTTCAACGCGGAGGTAATGCATTAGGGTGCTAATACCTTAAAACTGTAAATTTTTAACATTGTGAAATTATCATTATTAAATTATAATCAAAAGGAAAAAAACATATGTTAATGAACATATTAATTTTGCTTCGTTTTTCAGCATGAATACACATCACCAGGTTATGACGTTGACTCCACAATATACTCTCTATGACAATGTTTCGGTTCTTTGTAACCTTCTTTCATGTAGTAAATTATTATATCAAACATTGTTTTCCAAGCGTTCTCTAAGTCATCACACCAATGGTCTTCAATATGGGGTTTGATTGCATTCAGAAAATGAGGTAAAATTATCTGTAAAAAAACAAAACAAAACAAATGTTATAATATAGTTTTATTTTTTTTTCTCTTCCGTGTTCTGCAGTTTACGAAAATGCATAATCAGGAACAGTTTTAATAGGAAATAGTTATGTAGAACTATTTGAATACATCACAATTAGCTAAATTTAAATTGGGAAGATAATGGAAAAATATATGACCCAAATATTGGTTTTTTCAATTCTCATCAAAGATTGTTAATAAGATTTATTCAAAATTTATTATGCTTAATTCTTGTTGTTATTCCTTGAGAAAGTTTTATCATATTCATTTATAGACGGCAAATACCTGTAAATAATCTTGTGGCACTTTGTACAGTTTGTGATGAGCCCCAGATTCCTTGAGCAAAGTTATCAAAGCAGTAGGCTCATCAAGGCGGGTTATAACTTTATCTATTGTTGCCATAACTCTCAGTGCATGTTGTCGAAGTAAACCTGCACGTTTTAGTTCCAGCAAGTCTCGACCTTTAAACTTTGAAAATACTTCCATCAGCTCTGGCCTACTTTCAAACATACTGAAAATTGAATAGATAAAAAATGAACATCTGTAAAATATTTTGTTATCAAACTAAGGAAATACATATTTACAGAAATACATCAATTAAGCGCTTTAAATATTTATTTGAAATTATTTTTCACCAAATTGCCGATTTTTTTAAACGTTTGAATCAGAGAATCAAATACCTAGATAACATAAGTGATACATCTCTGTTTTAATACATAATTATCATTAGCTTCATACTTTGTAAGCAAACTGACACTCGCATTGTCAAAACGTAAATATCATTATATAAGTATTCTCATACATATTACAGATTCGATATTTTTTCGACGTTTAAAAATGCTACACACTCACCTGTATTTTGGTGTTAAATAATGAATTGATTCGATTGAAAAATATAAGCCATTAAGCAAATAAATATTTGTGTATAACAGTGTTTTAAAAAGGAGATTTGTTTTGAAAATCTTATTTAACCATAAAGCCATACATTTACGAGTGGTGTTCAAATATAAATGCAACTTGTCCAATATCTCGTTTTTCACCACGCTTTGCGCGAACTATGTACATGTATCACATAGATTGTTGTGTAAGCTTTCAATTGATACAATACATGTGTAAATCAGTTCAGTCTTGCTTTTAGAACTATCTACTCGTGTATACTAAAGCTAAAATGGTTTGGGAAACGTCTCTTTTCACTGACCAAAAATGGTCCTATATTAAGAACCGCTGTATTCTTAGTATACAGCCGAAATACACATTTAATGGAAAATGTCGTGTTTATGGGAACAATGAACTTTCTTTTTCATCTGTCACAAGGTGTAAGAAATGTAAAAAGGATTAGGATTTATTAAAAGATACACATCATGCACGGCGTTCGAAAACTACAAATTCTCTGGAAATTGTTGAAAAAGTAGAGGATAGGATTGCTACTTATGCCAGATTTATAACTGGCTATGTGGCTAAATGCGTTGGTATCTCTGTAGGAGCCGCTCCTATAATTATTGTATCATAGTTTGGGGACCTTTCTGTTGAAAATGTGTCAGAGTTAAATCGTATACTTATACATGCACAGTGCGTTAACTGAAGTGGAGGTATTAGTTACCCGCACTCCAGAGCATGCCCATTTATTGGTTCATTTTGTCCGGCGTTTACATATTGTGACGACAGAGAAAGGGATAGCGATAGAAATATCATATTCAAATGCTCGTTCATTGGTTACTTTTTTCTGGGGTTTGATATTGTGACATCAGGGAACGTGTTTTTATTTTTGACTATGATACAAAAGAGAAAGAACATCAAAACACTCGGCAATCAGATTTATACTCGGGGGCTACGCCCCCTCGTACAAATCAGATAGCCTCGTGTTTCGATGCTCTTTCTATTACTTAGACGTTATATAAAATTGAGAAGGATAAAGGATACCCCACCTCTTTACAAAAGAGCAAACACTTGCTCGAGTAAGAGTCTCCAAACAATTGTTGAAACAGTTCCCTAAATATAATAATCGATCTTTTGCAAATATTGTCACTGGCAATGAGACATGGGTTCACTTTTATGAGCTCAAGCTCAAGCGAAAGGTACATATGGGCAACCAAAGCAAGTCAAAGACCTTGCATAGCTAAAGCTAATATTCAAATTGCCGTATCAAAGGGTAAATCTGTAAATGCCATGTTAAAAAAACGCAAGGTCCTTCATAAATTAAAGAACTATTTCAAAAACCGTCGCCAGCAACTTGTCTCCGTGGTGTCAGGTTGTTGCATGACAATGCTACGACACAAAAGCGGCCATTGTACGATACATTGTATCTGTAACAGGAAAAGGTTGTTGAACTTTCTCACCCACCTTATTCGCCAGAACTTGCCCTTTGTGACTTTTTGCTATTTCTGACGCTCAAATGAACACCTTGCTGGAAGAAAATATCAAACCCGAAAAAATAGGTTTGACTATTTTATACATCGAAAAGATTATGAAAACGCATTTAAAATTGAGTTAAAAGAATAAAATTTTGTATATCACATGGTGGTGAGTATTTTGAAGGATTGAGATAATTATTTTGGCACTGTTTGTTAAGCACTTTTAAAAATTGACCCAGTTGCATTCATATTTGAATACCCCTCGTATTCGTATATTCATATTATTTCTATGAATATGTTAAACACCCGATTAATTATCATATTTTTTTCTGTATTGTTACAACTTTTCTAGAGGTACAATTCTCGAAAAATGCTTATTTAAATAATTGAAATTAAAACTACAGTGATGAAAATGCAATATCTATTTTCCCCATCATTGTAATAATAATAATTGATTTATATCTATCATTGTGAGATTTAAAAGTCATACTCTACTATATATTATCACAGAAAAGGACCTTTTATCTGCAGATCACGTTTTGCAATTCAATATTTCATATATAGATTTCCACTTAAAGAAATCTAGTTTGAAAATTATGTGTTTCAAATTACCGGAATACGAAACTGGCAACAAGCGTTTGTAAATAGTCTTATGGTTATTGAGATAAATACAAACAATCATATTCTTTCTATTAAAACTTGTTTACATAATTTCTTTTCCTTTAAGAGTATGTACGCTTACCCACCTTACATAAGTAATAACTCCAATGTTGGCCACATTGCATTTTAAAATCTTCCAGTTATTCCGAATAGCAGCTTTCTGGGCGTCGGACAATGCTGGTGGCCCATCTAAACTATCGCTTTTGTGACCAACCTTTGAATGTATCCGCCTCCATATTTTATCACATGTACATCCCATTTTTATAAGTCTTAATCAAAATCATGCAATTCAATGATGTGTTGTATTTATCGAGGATGATTATAAACACAATTATATGACACTTAACACTCAAATACACGGCACTAAATTTAATAGCATCATCAAAAAGTAAACAATATCAAGAAGTTAATGATACTATATAAATAATAATATTTAATTTCAAATCCTACAAAACAATAATTGATTGTTTTATTCAATTTGAAAATGAAATTCAAAATTTGCATTAATTTATTTCGCAAACTGTATTTACGTCCATTTTCCTAGCAAACTAACTTCATTATAGTTATTTTTAATCCGTGGTATGGCTACATCTTATTACTTTTCTTTAATTTTAATCCGCTTTATCTATATATATTTTGCACATTTCCTTCGAGATATAAAATGATGTTGTTTTGCGTCAAAGTTATCATTAATGCATGGTTCGGGTCGGAGATCCGTTTTCTATAACATATTAAACATAACTACTTTAAACAACAGTTAACACTGCTCGTATGATACTGTTTTTCCGATGCCCGACCGTGCTATTGGAATCTCTCACTAGAAATCATGAACGCGGAAATAACTTGTGAACTACATAGATTTTCTATATTTTCATTTAAACTTCCAAACCTTGTACATATAATTATTCACTATGAAACACTATTGGTAGTTTCAATAAGGAAATTTCTGTCAATATACAAAAAAAAGAGCCTCGGAACATTCCTAGTAATAACAAGAGAAATAAATGAAAACCATTAAAACATGTTATTCACTTGGGAAGAAAGCAAGAAAGAAATATGAATAAAAAAAGTCTATAAAACATATATCATATTATCGGACGGTTGATTTAATCTTTCTTAGATATCATTACGGAAATAAAAAGTCAAACAGGTGTATAGTATCATAAGATGATGGTAAGTTCTGCATACAAAACAAAACATTTCTTTTCAGCAGACTATATCTAATTACGCGTATAAATAATGCATACATGCCAAGCAACTGTCACTGATGTTGCAATTAGAGGATAGTGTTCAATAAATTTTCTGAGTTTAGATTATATTAAATTCAAAGTACAAATTAGCTTTTTATACTTACATGTCAAGATACTTCTGCATGACGCTTCTTCGTTTTGTGGTAATGAGCTAAGTGTTAGGATAATAATTATATGTTAATAATTATATGTTTATAAGCCTTAGATCTGAATGATTTTTTATTATGGAAAAATTAATAATTAATAATTATAATTAATAATTAATAAATTAATAATTAATTTAATTGTATCTTACACACCTCAAAATACAAATAAATCCATTTGAAATAAACACTATTGAAATGTGATTAAAAAGAGGTTAAATGAAATAGTTTATAGTGAGAAAATAAATGACCATACGTTGTTAAGATCCCAACATGTAAATTTACAAAAATGGGTTCAGGCGTGTTCTTTTAAAATTCACTTTACCGTTTTTTAATAAAATGTAACAAGAATTATATTTAAACTAAAGGTTATATCCGAGTTAACCATTTTACAACGTGTTAAACGATGAAGACATAAATAGGAGCTATTTCAAACTTCTAGACAGTTCTGACGTTTTTAGTATTTATTTAAGAGTAAACGAGTAAAGTGGCGTCATTCAGACCCATTTATACATTTCTGTTAGGATTTAGATAGATTTATTTAAGGATAAACTTACAATACAACTACATATTAAATGTAACAATTTCGAGTATATATTTTATTTAGCGTTTTATAAGGCAACGCACAGTAGAATGATTTAAATATGTTCCGTGTTGACTTGACTTTTGAATATCTCTGAAGTAAATTCATGATATTACACTACGATCATACATTTTCATTTAGTAAGTTATGTGACACCAGGCCCAGTGTTCACAAAGATTTAAGGATCAGGATCAAGATCAGGATCAAATTTATAAACTGATATATTCTATGGAGGGCGATCGTTGCCAAAATTCCAGACATGTAATGTGTTTCTTTTGAAAACTACTTTTGAAAATGCGAACATGTATGTCTAGCATTTTTGATTGTATTCGTGCACAGCAAAAGATTCGCCTCTTAATCCAATCTTTTAATTGAAGGCATCCGCTTTTAAATATCAAGTTTACATGTAAATCTTAACAACTGACGGAACATGGAGAACAACAACAAATTTACAAGTTCGTATCTTCCATTGCATATAATTCAGCATGTTTACACACTTGTAGATATCTATCTGTACCTTAAATGAAATGTTAAACATGAATACAGAAAATATAATTTAATAAAACGTGTTTCCAGTCATAGAGCTACAACAGTACGTTTACACAGTAACATGATTAAAATGACAAAACTAGATTCACAAAGTTAAACGATTTTAAGTCATGCATGACGCCCCGCCCCTCTCTGAGTAATTACGATGACAGGTATAATACCCGTCGCCTCTCTCCTTTTTCTCAATAAAGTGAAGGAAAACACCGCGTCCATTCTAACTTTTTTTTAATTCTATAAAGAGTCAAATATTTTTTGTATCAAATGAAAGATTACACCATAAGCTTTCTATGAGTGCCTCGGAAATAATAACGAATTAAATAGATGTATTGGAATTTTTGTTTCAAAATTTATCATTTTTCCTCTGAAAATAACACTCTCGAATTGGTAAGAAAAACACGGCGTTCCCTACAAACTTTTTTTATTTCGCAATCAATTTTGATAATTTTGAATTGAAATAAAAGTGTACGTGCTTCATACGATTTATGATATATGATTATATAATGCCTACAAATAAAAATGAATTAAATCAAAATAAATTAACTTTTCGTTTAAAAGTTTATCATGTTACTTTCTGTAAAATAGAGAAAATTAAAATCCTTAAAGAACACTCAAAACGACAAAATTGAGAATGTTGCAGGCTTGGTTTGATTGTGCCTGTTCATGGACGGCAATGGAAAGAGCAAGTTACCGTCCACGCCCCCTAGCACCAGCTAAAGCAAAATTTAACATGAACTGGTACATTTTTGAATTTTGAAACATCCGCAGATGTGTTAACATATAGTAAAAACCTAAAATACCTTCTTGTAAAAACCCAAAAGGCCTAGAGCTTAGATATTTTGCATAAGGCATCATCTGGTAGACCCTTACCAAGATTGTTCAAATTAAAGCCCTTGGGTCAAAATCGGCCCGCCCCGGGGTCATTGATTTTCGCTATATGTTCATATAGTAAAAACTTAAAACACCTTCTAATAAAGACCCAAAAGAAAAGGCCTTGAGCTTAGATATATTGCACAAGGCATTGTCTGGTAGACCTCTATCCAGATTGTTCAAAATATAGCCCTGGGGTCAAAATCGGCCCGCCCCAGGGGTCATTGGTTTTCCTTATATGATTATAGTAAAAACTTTTAAAAAATCTTCTAGCAATTGACAAATGCTAGAGGTTAGATATTTTGCATGAAACATTGTGTTGTAAACCTCTAGCAAGATTGTTCAAATTATAGCCCTGGGGTCAAAATTGCCCTCGCCCTGGGGGTCATTGATTTCAATATATACATATGGTAAAAATTAAAAAAAATCTTATTGTCTGAAGGAACACGGCTTAGAGCTTTAATATTTGTTAAATAATATCATCTAAAGGTACTCCACCAAAGTTGTTCAAATTTAGCCTCTCGTGTCAAAATTAGCCCCGCCCCTGGGAGCCATAGTTTTATCTTATATGTATATAGTTAAATCTTAAAAAATCATCTTCGCTAAATTTACATAGGATAGAGTTAAGATATTTTGCATGAAACATTGTGTTGTGAACCTCTGGCAAGATTGTTCAAATTATAGCCCTGGAGTCAAAATTGGTTCCGCCCCGGGGGTCATTGATTTTCATTATGTACATAAAGTGGAAAAAAAAAATTTGTATGAAGGTTCAAGGCATAGAGCTTTGATGTTGATATATAATATCATCTATAGGTCCTCTACCAAAATTTTCAAAAATTTTGGGGGCCCTATTTTTTTCCTTGGGTCAAAAATTTTTTAAGGGAAAATAACTTGATATTGACTTTAAATTTTTTTGGGGGGGTTTCAAAAAAGATTTCCTTTAAAATTTTTACGGGGAAAAGTTTTTTTTTCCTTTTTACACAAATTTTAAAACCTTTTTTGCTTGCTTCCCTTAAAAAAATCATAAAAAAAGCCTTCCCTTTTTTCTTTATCGAAAAGAAAAAAATTGAAAATTGGATCCCTTTTGGGCGTATATTAAAAATTTAAAAATTTCCCTTTCCATTTTACAAAAAATAAAATTTAACGGGTTGATTGATCTTTTGGTATTTTAAAAAAATGCCTCCCCCATTCACTTTAAAAAATTTAAATAAAATTTTTGGGGGAAATTTTTTAGCCAAAAAAAATCCCTGAAGTGCAAAATTTTCAGTCCCCAAAAAAAATTCCTTTTTGTTTGGGGGAAAAAAAAAAAAAACTAAAAAAAGACCCCCCAACATTAAAAAAAATTACAAAATTAACCCCTTTTATTTTTACAGGAAAAAAAGGCAAAATTTTTACAACTAAAATTTTAAAAAAGGAAATAAAAAGGCTTTAAAAAAATTTTTATTGAAAAGAACTTGGGTTTTTTTTTTTTTTGGGAAATTTCCTTAATTTTTGAAAACCCTTTTAAAAGATACATAAAAAGGGTTGGGTTTTTTAAAACCCCAAAAAACCCTTTTAGGATTTTTCCAAAAAAAACCCTGCATGTTTCTGGGGGGAAAAAAAAAACAAGTCAACAGGAAGCGGGCTAAACAACGCAACCCAACATGACCAGAAACCCGAACAATGAGAGAGCGGCCCAAACACAGGACGGGCACTAGGCAGAAGCACGGACAATTGATTAATAATTTGTAACTGATAAGAGCACGATGTTAAATAAAAAGTTAGTGCATAAGTTATCTTCATCATAAATAGTAACATCAGCAATTTTCAAGTGATGTTGCTCGTGGCAAAACTTTTGTAACAAATGTAACAAATATATGTTATGAAAAATGCCGTATGTTGTCCTTCAGTTTTATTTAGAAATATGGGAGAGGCGCCGTTTTATACCTGTCCGCAATAGAAGTTCGTAAATACTCCGAGAGGGGCGGGGCGTTATGCTTGACTTAAAATCGTTTAACTTTGTGAATCTACTTTTGTCATTTTAAACATATTACTCTGTTAACGTACTCTGGTAGTTCTACAACTGGTACTACGTTTTCTTAAACTCTATTTTCGGTATTTAAGATTTACATTTCATTTGTATATTTCAGATCTATAAGTGTGCAAACATTCATATGTATTGCACGCAATGGAAGATACGAACTTGTAAATTTGATGTCATTTTAGATGTTGTTACGATATATATGTAAACTTGTTATATAAAGGCGGGAACCTTCAATTAAAAGATTGAATTAAGAGGCATATTATGTGCTATGCACGGGTACAATAAAAAATGGTAGGCATACAAGTTCGCATTTTCAAAAGTCATTTTAAAAAGGAACACTTCACATGTCTGGAATTTTGGCAACAAACGCCCTCCATAATATTCTTCATTGTTTATCATCTAATATCAATTTGATAAAACAGGCCTTGCAATAGCAAGTTAATGAAATTTTAGAATAAATATATTGTTATTTTTTTTTTCAAAATACGGGCATTTTACAGTTGATCCAAATATTGATCCTGATCCCTAAATTGATCCTTATTTTGATCCGAATGTTTTTTATTAGTTTTGTTTTTTGATGATTTTATCCCAAACTTATTTGGTTTCTTTGCA